GGAGGGAGGCAGACGTGAGATGTGGCAGAGAATGTGTGAGTGTGTGAATTAGTAGTGGTGGTGTTGTGTAGCTGTACAGGGTGGGGCAGAGGTGAGTGTGGGTGGGATGTAGGTTGTGGAATGAATGAGGGTGTTATTGTAAAGGTAGGGAATGTAGGAAACAGACAGACTAACAAAGAATATGGCAGTATGTACATAGTGAAGTGTTACAGTATGTTGTTGTTGTTTGAGAAGGAGTAGGAAACAGTAGTAGTGGGTGGAGTCCTGGATGTTGTAGGAGTTGGTGAGTTTGTATGTGATGTGGTGTCATGGTACTGAAACTGAAGTAAGTGGGTGAAAGGAGTAGACCCAGTGGTGTGAAGGTAATGAACACAGAGAAGAAGATGTGAGAACCTTGATGTGGGTCTGTAGCTGGTGTATTTGTACAGAGAGTGTGTGTGTGTGCTAGGGATGTAGAGAAGAGGAAGTAGTTGGGCGAAATAGAGAATGAGGGAGTATTAGTAGCGTTGCAGTGATGGAGAAGATGGGGCAGTAGAATAAATGGGTAGTGATGTTAGAAGGTGATAAAACAAATCCAAAATAAGTGAAGAGTTTATGTAGTGGATTGTGACACACAGTAGGAGTGGAAGTGAAATGGAGTAGAGACTGTTGTGTGACCCCAGTTATGTGGACATGAAGTCAGTGGGTGTGATGTGGTGAGGGAGCTGGTGTGAGGAGAAACAGGGAGGTGTCAGTGTTGTAGGTGAAGTGAATGCTGTCTGTGGGTGGTAGTTGGAGATGTTGAGTTGTGTCTGTGCAGCAGAGATGGTGGTGTTTGCTGTGCTGGTGTAGGTGTAAAGTGTTGGAGTAGTGGGTTCATGGCTAAGTAGTAGCATGTGTGTGTGTGTGTGGCTTTGTTAGAAGTTGTTAATGATTGGAAAGTGGCAGATATGGAAGTGAGTGTAAGTGGAGGTATGAGAAGGAGGAGGTGACGGATGTGGGGTAGTTGAGGTGGGGGTGAAAGGATGTAGTTGTTGTGATGTGGGGGTAGTGTGAAGTATGTAATGTGTTGTGGTGTGTGTGTTGGTGTGGAGTGGATAAAGTCCAAGTCAGTAGTTGTTTATATGTGTAGGTGTAGGTTTTAGCAGTGGTTGACAGAGTTATGGTAGGTGTGAATGTGGAAGCATGGATGGACACAAGTTCCCTTAGTGTAAGGTGTGGAGTGGGCTGAGTGAGCTGTGGGCAGTGGGTTGAATGTGTGTGTTTTCAGGGCCCCACATGTACAGCAATATATATAAATGTATGTATGTATGTATGTATATGTGTATATATATATATGGTTTTGTGGTAAGTATTTATTGGAGAGGCACATGGATGGGCAAGGTAGTAGTTGAAATGTGTATGAGGAAGTTGTAAGTTGTGACTTGTGTTCCACAGGTGGTGTCCATGAAGGCTTGATTGCAGAGCAATTGGTTGACCTTGTGCCAACCAATGGGATTGCAGGATGGGAGGTGGTGGTCGTTAGGGAAGGCGGGAACAGCTGGGAGTGGTAGGAGTGGGTGAGTATTTAAGGTTCAGTGTGACAAGCGTCAGCGTAGCGTCACCAAGCGTCAGCCAAGTGGGAGCCATGTGAGTAGCCATGTGTTTAGCCTGTGTTAGCTCTGTGTTCAGCTCTGTTTGTTCAGCACTGCTTGTTCCAGCTCTGCTCTTGTTCCGGCGTCTGCTCGAGTGAAGGTCGTCCTCGGGCGAAGTCGGACGAGGGCAAAGTCGAAGCGTGTCAGCCTGCGCGTGTCCGCCGAGCAGGGTCCGCCGAGAGGGCACGGCATGCTGCCCGATTTTACTCAGAATTTGCTCACCATCACGCTCTCCCCCACACCCACAGAGAGCTAACGGGCGCCTCATGGCCACGGCATGCTGCCCAACTTCACTCAGGTATCACACACACCTCCAGCAAGGCCACAGAACTCTCACCAATTTCACTCAGCTACCACCAATCCTCTAACTTCTCCCACAGAACCCTGGCCACATTGCCCCCACTACAAGCAACACCTCCAACCTCTCCCCCACACCTACAGAGAGAGGAAACAGCCACCTCATGGCCACAGAATGCTGCCCAACTACACTCAGGTATCACAAACACCTCCAACAAGGCCACAGAACTCTGACCAACTCTCCTCGGACTTCTACCACCAAACCCTGGCCAAATTGACCCCACCACAGGCAACACCTCCAAGAAGGCCACAGAACTCTGCCAAATTCCCCCAC